AATGCCAGGTTTACCATTGTTCTATGATGTTCTATGGTTATTTTGCTTTACCCGGGCCATATACAGCAATCCAGGGTTGATGGTCGATGGCCAGGATATTCTTTCGCAGACCTTGTGGCTCTCTCAGGGGTAACCTGGGATGACCAAGGACCAGCAGTTTGGTTTCGATCCAACAAGAACTCAATCATGGTCAAAGCTGTATAACCCCGTAGGGTCCTAAAATTTAAGCATACGAGCACGTTAGGGATATTTTATTACATTTTGTTTAATAGTAGTTTAATCCTTGAATTATCACGTTGGTCTTCGCTCAGCTTATGCCCTGGTTTTGCAGTCAGGTCGACGACGAGACGCGTTTCAGCGCACTTCCAAACAAAGGCGCGGATGTCTGTTGAAATTTGGAAGCACCTGCACGTAATGTTTTTGGGGCAAGATGATTTCCAGTACCCCATTTTTTGGCTCGAACTGGAATATCAAGAATTGCAAGATCTGCAATCCACACACGGGTTGTATCCAACCCTTGCATACATGTAACATGTGGATGATGGAATTTGTAGATTGTAACCTACAGTGATTGTTGCTTCCTTGTCCGAACAGCATCCGTTCTCAATATACTGCAGAATTTGATAGTCTTTGTGTGGTTGCCATTTCACCGCATAATGTAGCTGCTTCAGGGGGTTCCTTTGAGACAGTTTCCTGAAATTAGTGGTCGCATGCTCTGGGCACAGGAAGACATGCTCTCACAAAGCATGGTGGGAACCCCAGTTGACAAGGGATCGGCCAAACTGGGTTAAGCTGCTTTGGACTAAGACCCATTTTGTAGTAGTGCATCAAGTTTCATTCAAACAAGTTGGCTGGGTTTCTCTTATGTTATTGTTTTGAGCCGCATAAATATGGTGGATATACAATGATATATATATATATGTATATATATACACACTGTATATATAATGTATGGTCTATATGATATTGATTCTGCAGATAGCAAGTCGTTACAAAAACTTTGGTTATTTTATGCTATTTTTGTGTGTGTGGGGAAACAATCATCGGGCTCATTTATTTTGAACCATCCCCACAAGAAGGGGACCAAATTTCGCGGTGATGCCCAGGCATCTGTATCATCTATGCAAAGCTGGCCGAACCAGAGGCATCCCGGGCAGCAGTTGGATTTCAAGGTAGCCACCACCATCCCCAGGAGGGACATCCAATGAAGCAATGCAAGGTCAAGGTGTTTTCTAGCAGGCAGCAACCATGTTGGTTAGGACATGTTAGGACCCCCTTTGCTAATCTAAGACCGCAACGGAAAATACATGAAACTACTATATTTCAAGAATGGGTATAGATGCACCTACTTTACGATTTGGTTGATGGTTAAGTTGAATGACTCAATTCCTTAATCGAAATGATTTTATAACATCTCCCAGAAACCCTGGTATATAGTATTGAAAGGTAATAAAGTTTATTATTTTGGGGACCCATGGAAGAAGGGGATGATACTACATTGCATTATATATTTCTGTAGATACATGGTTATATTTTATGTTTGTTTTACAATGTGACATATGGTTGTACGTACATAACTACTACGTAGGTATAAGAAAACAGTAAGGAGCAATTTCTAGGGACAGGATGTTTAGCTCATTTCTCTTCTGAGTTTATCCTTGCGCCGTCGGTCGACCTATGCCATCCTCAGCCGCCAGGGGAGCCAGCCGTCGGGTCCACAGGGGAACATGTAATCAGATGTACAGCGGAACCATTAGATAAGAACCAGTGACTAGAATTCCAGGGCGCCCTAGGGTTCTTATTTCAATTAGCTGACAGAAAGGGTTGAATCCAGCAATCCAGCCCCTGAAGTTCTTATTGCAGTAGGTTCTTAAACAGTGGTTTCACTGTACACATTGATGATTGAATGACCATAGCCGATATATAGAATGAAGCTTGACATGGCACTGATGAGTGTGTGTTCCAATGTCGGCTGGAACAAAGTAACATCTAGAGATAATGTCATATGTTACATGATGGAACCCATGGAGAGAACAATCAGCATTAACAAGCCAACAAGGGGTGTCATACATACGCCTCCATATACATAAATGATCACATATGTAATGTATTTTTATATGTGTATACGAATCTGTGTGGTGACAGTGTGGCCAAAAGCAGAGCATCCCTGGATATTATGTACTTTTGACAATCAACCATGTCAACGGTTTTGACCACTGTTGTTACTGGAGAAGGTGACTGGACAACCCAATGTCAATGGGAAGTACAGCACCACAACGGGGGGAACCATGTCAATTTTCCACAACATCAATGGAGTTTGGTCAGTTTTGTCAGTAACTCAATGCGAGGTCAAGGTTTTCGGTCGGTGACTGTGCAACTGGAAACGGGCCCCACGATCCCAACCAAAGCTTAGCTACCTTCAGTTCTGGGTAGTTCGATTGATAGTTAGACTGGTTGGTGGTTTGGAACATGAATTTTATTTTTCCAGATATTGGGAATCATCATCCCAACTGACTTTCATATTTTTCAGAGGGGTTGAAACCACCAACCAGTAGATCATGTTAGATCACTTCATCCAGGATATTCAGGTGGCTGCAGGGACCAGCGTTGGCGCCTTACCACAACCCAGGTGTGGTGATGTACTAAATCTTTGGCGTGACGCACGGTTCGTACTTGACGGAGGCACGCGCGCTGTAACGTCCTTCCTTTCATTACCTTTCTATGCATTGTGACATCTGTCTGAGCAACGTCCGTAGAATATTGATATAGCATATATCAATCTATTTCAACTTATTTTCTTGTTATGTATATGATTATATCATATTATACACATATATAAATATACATGATTATATACATGTAGGGGATTTGGAACTGCTGGGGCTAGCTATCAGTGTACTTTCTCTACCCAGAAGCAGAATTTGTTGGGATACTTTCTTGGGTCCTAATGCAAAAAACCATTGTGTGATGGAAACACCATTTGGGTAGCACCAGTTACTAAGCAGCGGGGGCGGATGGGGTGTGGGATGTGTTTGGTTCTTACTGGACGTACCAGGAGCAGACAGTGAGGTCAATTTCGAATTGTATAGAAACCAGTTGACATGGTTTGAAGGTCTTCATCAAATGCTAGATGCACAACCGAATATCAATGGATGATATGGATGACAAGTTGAACGTTCCTTTGTCTTCGATCCGCCGTTTCGTCCTCAGTCCTCACCTGGCTTGGCCGAATTCACTCAAAGTTAGGGTCTAGATGGGAAAACAAGTGATTTACCTTGGCTTTCCCGGGAAAAATCTGATCTGGCTTGACTTCAAATGAAAAGAAGAGTAAGAATCGGTCGTGTCTAGCATCCAGATGAAAAATGGCTACCGAGAAGCTTCCTACACCTCTCAAGCAGAGAGAGATGCGTAGAGTACCATTTTTAATTCGAATTAGAGCGCGTCGAGATCCACCCCAAAGCACGATGATAGAAGCCTCTGATGGTTCAGAGACAAGGCATTTGTATGCATTTGTCACTATCTGTTAATTTCGGCTTCATAAACCCTGCAGCTGTTTGGAGTCTATTCAGCACTCTTTGAACTTTGGGGGAACCCCATCGGGTTATTCTATAATTATAATAATTATAATAGTTGTAAAACCCTTCAATTACAAATTCATGATAGGATAACTTGATCTGAATTCTTGGTCAGAAAATCATGATTTTTTGTGCAGGGTTTAAGACTGCTACGCTGCTACAGATGATCAACGTGACCAAAACCACGGTGCCTCCGATGGACTGTTTTGGGTGCATCTTGACACAGCAACGCAAGAGCTCTGGACACAGCTGCGACCATGCGACGTGCGTCGGGACACAGCACACTGAACAAGAGATGTGTTCCGAACGGAAAAGACCGGCAGGTTGCCACAGTCATCGATTCAAGCCTTTAAGCAATGCGAAACTGTGATAAACGGTTGTGTGAAACAGCACCTAAAAAATATTAAAAAATATCCTCACATAGTTTGGCTCAGCTGTGTGTTCCAGAGCACCCGGAGTGCAACTTTATTGATTTATTACCCTTTGATGAATCATCACTGCTGGAAAATCCATCAGTTGTGGTGGTATATAACTGGTCGAGAGGCCTTTGAGGATTTGCAGCAACTGACTGGACCCATACCAAGGTTTGCAGGTTTCTTGCCACCCTCCAGGTTGCACATTGTGCATGGATGATCATGGATGATTGATGGTTGTACAGTAGATAAGAGTGACAGATCCGTTATTTTCGGGGTGAAAAATTAAGCAACTGGTGGATTTCCCGCAATGTTGGTTTGTCAAAAGGTAGTGGCATTGCAACGCACTGTCGTTGCCACACAAAGCCGAGTTCCGGAACAAAAATCGCTTCAGGATGCTTCAGGTTTGCATGCTGAGAATTGAGAGGCAAAACACCGAGAACGGTTTTTTGACTGTGCAGTGCAACACCGAGAACGAGTACCCTCTGGTAAACTAACATAGCTATGGAAAATCACTGGTTTTAATGGGAAAATCCACTATAAATGGTCATTTTCAATAGCTATGTTAGTTTACCAGAGGGTATATGGCATTGTGGCATTGGGGGGGAAACTCATCAACGCTTTCTGCAGTGACGATGTTTTCGCCGTGGTTAGTGGTTCACTATGGTTCACTTGTTCTGCATTCCGCAGCTCGAGCCAGTGGCTGATTCTGAGCCCAGAGATATATGGCATGATGGTACCACATTGCGGATTTGCCCTCTTATTCTGTGAGATTGTTCGACAAATTGATAAATTAGAAGTGAAGCAACAATTCTTCTACGGCAGTTTCATGATAAATACATATATATATATAAATACGTAGATGGCGATGAGATTTTGGGATATGTTGGGCAATTTTTCGAATTTTCCCATTGAAATACTATTGAAATAATATTGAAATACTATTGAAATTGGACATTTCCAAGGCATCCACGTAAGAATCGAAGCTGGCGCAACCTGGCCATGCTAAAAAATGGCGGGCCGGGCCTGCGTGCAATGTGGCGACCTCGGTGCATCTGGAGGGCTGACCATTTGACCATTTTGAAGTGAACCTGATTTATTTGTCTACATATGGCTATGGATCAATACCTATTAATACCTATTATAGGATCTATGTATGGTATATATGCTAACATTGGGGGTATATTCATGGTAAATGTTACCATATATAGCATACATGGATCCTATGGGTTATGGCATCTTCACATCAAAAGATCGAGGGATAGAACTTTTTTTCGACGTGAAGACAATGGACGGAGCAGTGACGGAGCTTGCAGAGTGGGAAAGCAATGAGTCAGAGACCACGAAGAATGCGTTGATTGAATTTGTCCGAAAATCCTCCGACTGTTGGCGGGGGGGTGATTGATTGATTGATGCGCATCATACCCAACCAGAATACCAATTTCCTTGCTACATGGGTATGGATCAATACCTATTAATACCATTTTTAGGGGGATGAACATCCATTTACCAGCTATTTTGATGTGAACTACAGGGGTACAAGGTTTTGACCCACTGCCATATGTCAACATTATGATTCTAACATGATGTATATAATATGTATATGTTCATATGTATACATATATATATTATTATGTATGGACATATGATATACTGTATGTATATGATATATTCAATGTGATATGTGTCACAGTGTCTATATGCATTTCATCCCCACAGTCCGGTCGCAGGCACACTGCTTTGCGAGGACGCGGCAGCGAAGTGTTGCAGCCTTTGTGGTGGAGCATTGGCGACGGCCTTCAGGTGCCTGGTATTGTTCTGTTTTATTACATAAACCACATGATACCACATGTTTGGTGGGAAAAGCGGGAAAGACCAGATAACAGATATAAATTATAAGAACTATTTGTGAGTTTCCCATGTATCTGGTGAAATTGGAGAATCCCACATGTTTAGTGGGAGAAATTATAACAATGATGTTTAAAAGTTTAGTAGGAACTGATATGGATATGGCTGATCATTGGAGGACGGACAAATATTTTTTTGGGGATTCACCATGGATTTTCGCCAGCCAAGTTATTTCATGATTTACAAGTCATTTGGGTGTCAATATGGAGGATTTAACCACAAAAATGCGACTTTTATGGTTTAGGACCAACTAATGATGGGTATAATCTGCGATTCAAGCAGACAAAAAAATGTGGATTTGACACAGGGATTTCACCAATGAATGATAGGTATTGATACATTTTCATCGGGAAATAAGAGAACAGACATCTATATGACTCAGGTATATCTATTTTGGATGTCTTTCTTACATGATGAAAAGGGGAATTGCCACGTTTGACTAGTGAAGGGTAGAACGCAAGCAAATCCTGGGCGCTTTGCTTGTTGAAGATGGCAGGTTGGGTCCTTTTGTGGTCTGGATTTGGAGATTAGTTGCGGAGTTACATGAAGTTGGTTGAATGTTGCATCCACATGTGTGGAAAATGAGCAGTTGACTACAATTGATTACATATGTATGACTATATGTATCACATTACAATATGTTACACACACAGGTACACATATATATATATAACTATATAAACAGTAGATCTACAAAACATGTAGAGGTGGATATATACACACGAATCACATCGAACAAAGCGTGGGAAATTCCTCATTGCCAGCAGCTTGTCTCAGACACTCAGCGCGTGGGAGGTCCTTGAAGGGCAGCGCATGTATCGATTTGGATGATGATTCTCCAGGCCACTGGGTTCAGGCTGAGTTACTCCAGGGGGAAGTATCAGTTGGATTTTTGGAGGTGTTTGAAACGTTGCGCTGGGGGGTTGGGAAGGTTGGAAGCAGAAAGCATGAAAACACAAGATTGGGAAAACCCATGCTGACTGGTTCAGAAAACGAAATGAGTCGTTTCGCATGCTTTAAACAGCCAAGGCGCAGTATTTTCGAAGGTTTACAATGTTTCCATAACTAGAGTTCGGAATGTTTCATAGGCATCAAACGACTTCACCAGAATGATCCATCCTGCCTCGCAGGTGACTGCGATGGCGGGCCGCCCCCGCCGGCACCAGCGAAGGGTGGGGAGCCAGAAAACAACCGGGCGTGTCCCAGATGTACATTGATTAGCACTAGTGTGGAACCCCAGATGGGCAGGATGATTGGAGGACGACCAGCTGCATGTTTGAGGAGTGAGCTTCATTTCTCCTTTCCGTGGTCTAGGGAAGGGCCAGCGGAATGTGTATGGGACAGTTGGCAGAACTCGAAAATGATACTTTTGTCTAATGGAGTTACCCTCTGGTAATTTAACATAGCTATTGAACATGGCCATTTATAGTGAGTTTTCCCATTAAAAATGGTGATTTTCCATAGTTATGTTAAATTACCAGAGGGTACTACTGGGCTTCCATGGCGGCAAATGGTTCCTCGCCCTGGAGAGCAAGTCGTCCATTCTGGGGACTATCATGGACTATCCCATTTAAAAAGTCGGGTATGGCCGTGATGGTCACTAATCCTTGTTGTTTGATGGTTGAATTCACAACATCTTCTGGATGACCCCAGACTTGCAAAAACTCCCTTGAAACTTTTCACACCTCCATTTCTCGATTCCCACTTTCTGGGGGATTCCCAAGTCACCATATGGGTTGAAAAATGGGTTTCAATACTCACATGGACATTCACATACCCATAGGATCCATGTATGGTATATATGCTAACATTTGGGGTATATTGATGGTAAATGTTACCATATATGGCATACATGGATCCTATGGGATACATTATCATACATTCATGACTTGGATGATTTGGGGGGTACCACCCCGGGATAGCTCAATGTTTGTGTGTTACATCCCTACTGAACTCGTCCAGGCGATGACTTTGAAAACTGCGAAGCCTGCGGTGCGGAGCTGCAGCCGCCAAGGCGATCCCTGTTGTCAAACAAGTTCATTTCGAGTTTTCAGAAACAAATCCACTGAGGTAGATCATCATATTCATCATATTTCCACTAAACACTTCTGAACACATCTAAACACTGGCCATTTTTCGGGATATCCCCCTGATCATGGGGAATCCCAGGAGAATCCCAGTGTTTTTGGTGGGCATTGATTGATATGTTGGATTTCACCATGGGTCACTTGGGGTATAAGGACCACGTGGGCTGTGGGGACAAATTGACATATCTGACTTGCTACTGAGCATGGTTAGAAAATGTTAAAAACATACAGATTGTGGACAAGTTAAGAAGTATTTTGAGATACAAGTGAAACATATAAAAATCCAATACCACTACATGGTTTGTTTTCAACCATGCTAATACATTAATCCAACCAATAATTAACACAATACTACAGCATATTTTAACCCCTAGTAGTTTAACATAACTATGGAAAATCACCATTTTTCACAGTAAATCATCTATAAATCGACCATTTCCATCCACTTCCCCACAGCTGTGTCAACCCTTTGCCTGGCTTCCGTGTCGCTGCAGGAAGCGGCCAAAGACAGTTGCCACCGGACAGGCGAAGTGGGGCTCCCAAAATGGCCCAACTATTCGGATTATATCGTGAGTTCATGTGAATCTGATCCATCCTTATCATCCGATAATCCAAATTAATATCAATGATATGACATGAGTTTTTCCATGTTTTTCGTACTGGCTTTTGTGTTTTGTTGCGTAGAACCGACATGTTTTGGGATGTTTTGTGGCTGGGGAACACACAACTTGCTGAATAACCGCAGCTTCCCATCCTAGTGGCTGGTTTTCCTCGCCAAGATTTCACAGTCCATCGCAATCCCAAGGGACCAAAAAGCAACAAACGACTGCTTTCGCCCAGAAATATGATGAATATGCAGCCGTTTTCCAAGAGGCAGCGAGTCCCCAGAATTACTTAAAAAAAGATTTTATATTTTATATATGTTTGCCAAATATTAGTATTATATATATTAGTATATTAGTATTATTCTCACAAGAACAGTGCTAAAATACCCATCAATTCACATATGGACAACTATGGGCAACTCAAAAATGTGGAGCAACGCTCCCAACGAAGCTCCAGGGCTCCGAACGCTCCCAACGCTCCGCCGGCCTCGCGGGCTTCTTCGGCAAAGCTCCGAAGGGCCCAAGCCGCGTGCCGAGTGCGGCGCTGCCCAGTGGGAAGCTCAACGGGTGTGTTGTTGGGCGTTGGTCAAACATACATATAATATATATATATTATATATATATATATCAACCCATATCAAGAGCAGAAGCTGGGATATGGGGTTTGGATGGTTTTGGTTACCTTTTTAAGAACATTGTGGATAGAACTGTTGGGCAATGACAAACGGAAAGGCTGGAGAGCAACAAAAACAATGATACTGTAGTACAAAATGGTTTCTTACCATGAGGGACCCTACTATGTAATCCATCAGGGAAACAACAAAGACTGTTTTTGGAGTAATTCTATATAACAGATTGCAAGCTATTTGAGCCACTTTGACCCCTGCAATGCGTATAGGTATCGCAAAGTGGGCACCTGACTTCTCCAGTAGTTTTTTTGGCCTATGACTTGATGATCATGCAACACTCCCAAAATTGATTGATGGAAAAGGTGCTTAATGTAGAATGATTTTATACTGATGGTTAACAAAAAATAAAACATGTTAATTACAAAAACAACCATGTTGTTTTTCAGTGAAATGTTGTTTCCACCAATCCATTGAATCAGTGAAAGCAGGTGAAGAGCCACCGCTGCCGGCCCCAGCAGAACCACCGCCAGATGTCGCTAACCAGGTGGGATGAAGATGTGCGTTTGTGCACCAAAGGGGATTTTGAGGTGTGAGGTTCTTTTCTCTTGTCATTGTCACTATATTGCACTTTGGATATCATATGTATATATATACACATATTTTTTTTTACAAATGTATTGTATTTTATTATATTGTAGTATTCTACTGTATTATAATATATATATATATAATGTATACAACCCAACATCCACGTGGATTTCCAGTACACATTGTGTCAACATGTCACGGTCATAGCTCCAGGCGACGTCCCTGGCGCAGCCTGGTGCCACCTGGAGTGCCACGGCCACCGAAGAGTTGGGAAAGCCCTGCGAGAGCTTCAGCCATCAACGGGTCACCGCAGGAGCTCTGGTGAGCCACAAGCGCTTGAGGGTGGTGGAATAATGACATATACCCTCTGGTTATGTCAAAATAGCTATTGAAAATGACCCATCTATAGTGAGTTTTTCCATTAAAAATGGTGATTTTCCATAGCTATGTTAGTTTACCAGAGGGTAACAAACAGCATGATGATATGATGTCATATTATGTCAGATTGTATTTGGGTATTTGGAAGATTATTTGCAAGTGGTGTTCAGACAATTGTTGTTGTGGCTATTTTGAATGTGTAAATGTGCAAGTCAAAATCAATTGTTCAGAAGAAACGACGTGCCATACAAATTTACAAATTTGCTTTTGGTTTGGATACTTTCGTACAATCGGACACAAGCATTGAGGATGTAAGTGCATCAACCACACGAACGTACACACATGCACACACAGGGACAGGTTTGCATTTGGGTGTGCTGGAGGTATAAGATGTTGTTCAAAGAACAATGTTTCTGGTTCAAGGTCACATAACCGTCATAACCCCTGAAATTGTCATTTGCCAACCTCTGTGGTGGTCACTTTCCACTACAAGGTAGATACTTTTCCTGCCGTTTGCAGATGCAGCGCCCTTTTTGCAGGACTTCCTGCTGTGAAGGGCGTGCCTTACCGAGTTCTTGCCGTGGCTTTGGATGTTGGATGGCCCAGTTGTATCGGGGGTGAACCCAGTAAACAATGGGTAGGCAATGAGTTTTTCCCAAGATTAGGTACAGAATGGTACAGATATAATTTTTACTTCTTCCGTCCAACCCGGACGTTGCTCCACACTAAACATCATCATCATCATCACCACCACCACCACCACCACCACCACCACCAGTGTCAACTAATGTGGAATGGGGTAATACCATCAAGTTATTTATAGGTATTATATGGTATTATATTCATGAGGGGTCATAAATCCGCCAGCCCCTATGACAAATATGTTGAATGGTGTAATTCGGTGTAATCACATCAACTTATCTCCATAAGGGATCAACAAATCCTCCACCCACTGTGGCAAATATGCTGAATCTGGTAATAGCATCAACATAACTTCATAAGGGATCAACATTCCACCACGCCTATTGACAAGTATGCTGAATCTGATAATAGCATCAACTTATCTTCAGAAGGGGATGATGATGATGATAATGCTGCTGCTGATGATGATGGTGATGATGATGATGATGGTGATGACGATGATGATCACAGTGAGGATGATGATGATGATGATGATGATGATGATGATGATGATGATGGTGATCATGATGATGATGATCATGATGATGATGATGATGATCATGAATATGGATCATGAATCTTGGATCTTGGATCATGGATCACATATAAATCTACATATTGAAAGTCCACCGATATGGCATTTCAGAAATACGCAACCCTTGCGCAATTCCGGCGCGGATCAACGTCAGGGTTGCACCGATGTTCAATATGTTTTGCATATGTTCGCATCAAATTTGCTGTTGAATGGGGCATCCCCAATATTGAGACACAACTAGATTTAGATTTGACCCCAAGATTCTTGATTGCATCCTCGATTCCAGGTTTGGGTGCATTTTTACCGCCATTGCCAGTTGTCTGAAAAACAGGATCCCCAGTGACGGCTTCTTGATGGTTTCCACTACTTTGTGGTGTCAAGCGTCCCTGTTTGGGTCAACCTCCAACTATCTCTAGTGACTGGAAGGTACAGCACCTTTTCTGGCTAAATTTCTAGGTGAAGACCCACTTCCCCAAGTTTTTTTCCGATGGGTTGATGCCACCCTTGAGAGATGGCTATACTTCAGGCCTTGGAAGCCACAAAGAGCCGTTTGAGCAAGGCTGGAAGCTGCAGTTTGTTATTTGAAGTGGTGCTGGTGAAGGGGTGATTCTTGGATAGAATTGGGTTGGTTGATAGTGCTTGATATCAAGGTTGATCAGTGTTAATCAGTGAATCCTATCAAAACTTGGGCCGGTAGTGACCGTTAGTGGTGTAGATCCACAAATCCACCATCGGTGGGAGTTCAGGTCGAGCATCGGCTGTCATTTTGATGCACTGTCATGATGGTTTCACTCTGAATTTATATGAGGTGTTGTATGAAATAATCAAAACATATCAAAACATATTGAAACATATTGAAATATATTGAACTATATTGAAATGACACTTCATCAACACCACATCAACGATCAGCAAGATCCTTCAGATTTATTGGATCCATGTACCAAGCAAACAGCAAACAGCTGCAGGACACCATATTGACGAATGCCTTCCGCGCTTTGCTCGCCATGTCAGCCTCTGTGGAGGAGGCCGAAATCCATGGCGATGTTCCAAGAAAGAAAGGCTTTGCCCAGCTCAAAACCAAGCATTTTCGGGTGGATGATGGGATTTCCATGGATTTCCTATATATATATAATATTATGCATATATCATATATACTATATACGTATTGTAATATAATATATATATAATTATATATATATAAAATACACGTATGTATGATTCTTAGATATACAAATGTTTGGATATATATATATACATATATATATATATATATGTATTGATATTCTACATTTATTTGTTCAGTGCTGTGGGCCCAGTGTCTTACAGAAATAAAACACATTGGGACAAGGGATCGCCAGGTGGCGGCTTCCTGCTACCTCTTTGCACCCGCCAAAGATGCACAATCCGGTGGCCACAGGCAGGGCGCTGAACCACGAAGGATTCAAAAAAGGGGAGACACTTTTTCACGGTTCTACCGATTTGGGGGGGGGGTACACCACAATTCTTGCGGGGTGAAAAACATGGATCAACTAATAGGTCAAATAGAAGAGACACGAGCGGAAGTTGGGGGTTATATCGCCAAGAATCCAAATATATCTACTACACAAGATAGTATGAACCTAACAACAATGGGACCCCAACCAAAACAAGCGACAACATCCGTCACGCGCGAACATGTGAACGCAGCCAACACAAGTAGTGATAGCAAAATATGATCAAGTTATTAAGCACCCTAGAATTGGGTTCACGGAACCCCCCCTTATACTTGGGGCTAAAAAGCCATGGTTTCCCATAGATTTTCCCTTCAATCAATCCATTTTTCAGCACCAGTTCTCCAGGCTGAAGGCCGGCTTCCCTGCCAGGCTCCGTCCAGATTGGGCCGAGGGGAAGCCTTTGAGCATTCCGCACAAGTCCATCACGGTGAGCTGAGCCCCAGGGACCGCCCAGTGGATGATCACCAAGCAGCTATAAGCAGCTGATGTATCACTTAAGTATTTTAGATTATGATAGATTATGGCTATTGGGGTAGTACCCTCCCTACCTGGATAAACCATAATAAACCATGGTTTGTTAATCCAGGGTTGACATTATGGGTACAATGGTGGACTTTACCCTCAAAATATGGACATTTTACTGAGGACGCGTATGATGAACCATCGAATTTTGGGCTACGCTCAAGCTTCCAGGTGCAGAATATTTAAAGTGGACGTATTGATATTCATCGAACACAATCGGGAATGTTAGCAACACTTAATGTTTGAATTGCTTGATAATGTCATAAGCAAGTTAACTGCCTGGCTTTCAAATTGGAATTGTTCATTACCCTCTGGTAAACTAACATAACTATGGAAAATCACCATTTTTAATGGGAAAATCCACTATAAATGGCCATTTTCAATAGCTATGTTAGTTTACCAGAGGGTAACTTAACTACCATTTTAAACTTGGCCGAATTGACAGCCAGCCCAATTCGAGCATCACAAAAGCAGCCGCACTGCATGTTGAAGCCCGGCGGCAGAGGATTTTTGTCAGCGATCTCATGGCTTAGTTCTTGACACTTACCATTTCGCAATTTAACATAGCCACCGAAGATGGACATGTCTTAATAGGTAAATCATGGCTATGTTGAATTACCCAAAATTGTGCGGATGCCTCGAGGCAGTAGGGCCAAGAAGGATATGATTTGCTGGGGTTTGAACGTTTGAACCCCTGGTCGCGTGATACCATGGGTGTTTTTGGTCCATCATCCCACTGGGCGACCCATTGTTGCTATTTAACCATGGCTGTGAAATCATTTCTGCAAACTCCATGTGTTATGCTGAAATCCAACGATTTTTGGGCAAAACTGTTGAGAATCATACAGTGAGGTCTATAGGATTTAATCACATTTCATAACATTTTATTAACATTTCAGAACTATCTAAATTTATTAGCCAATTTATTAACATTTAGCCACCAATCTCTCTAAAGAAAACCCATTCGGAATTTTTTGCGGTTTCAAAGTCTGTCGGTTTTGGTCGCCAGGCCTCCCTGCTGGAAGCCACCGGATCCACCAAGGTGGCTGCAGATATGGGTAGCATATACCCATGGAGCATATGGAAAATCACCATAGAAATAGATAGAAAGTTCGTGGATTTACCCATGAAAAATAGTGGATCTTTCCAGTTCGCAAAATGTAAACGTGTACCGGTATGGCTTGTTCCTTTTGAATTCAATAGAATTCAATAATTCAACCAAACTGTCTTTCAGATAGTATAAGATAGTTTTAGTTTGCCTCGGTGGTAGCTCTTTGTTTGCAAACGTGTCCGTTTGCCAGGCAGAAATGAATCGTCATGGGCTTAGGCATTGACGCAAGCAGTCGAGGTCGGATTTCATTCTTCTACCCCTTCAGTTTGGAGACACTTGGCATGAGATGACCGTGCAACAGCATTCCCCTAAAACATACTGTTTCCCCGCATCAAAATGGGAGTATCAACTCGTCCTGTTTGCGTCATGGGCTCGGGACTGGTCATGACATTGCCGAGGTTTGTATCACGAACTGCATGACACTGGCGAGGCGTGGGGTGATTTAGAGGGACATCCCAAAGGCTGTGTGCATAACCCAGTTGTTTGTTGTGCTGGCAAAATGACCACATATTCAGCGTGTGATCGTCCTTCAAAGCATGGTTTCAGGTCAGCATTAGACCGCCATGAGATGGATTTCTCATGATTAGTTCACCCTTGGGAGATCCTTTTTCTGGATGTAAAGTCACCTTGGTATATACCTTGATTTTTAGTTTTAAGACGTATAGTGCGGTATCTCCATTCATGCGGGGTATATCGCCAGATATCGCCAGTTCTGCTGGGAAGTTTGCATACAACCTCACTTTGTCAGCTCAATCCAAACATTGTATGTTTGTGTCAAACGCTGCCATAGTTTAAACATAAACCATATTACAGTAGCACATTGGCCTCATCCACCAACTTTGGTTTGACCGTGAGAAATATCAATTGTGTTTGTTCGTATGTGTCTCTTGCCGACCTATCTTTCCAAGCTAGGGTAAATCCAAAACCAAATTCCGAATCCAAATCAAATCAATTCTAATCCATCCTATTCATCCACATTTTTCAATCAACATCAAAACCCATCTATATAATCTAATTTGACCTACTCTACTCTAGTCTAACTTTAAATCAAATCTATCGCTCTAGCTAGCTATCTATAAATCTAAGTCGTCATACATCTTTCTATTCATCTAGCCTATTCAAAACACCAATTGAATCTTCAATCCATCATAATCTTACCATCTCCCACCTATATAAATACAATATAGCATATATTATACCAACTTATGGCATATTATAGCATGTTAAGTACCATACTATAGCAATTTATAGCATATTATACCTCTCTTTTGTCTGGTTGAATCCTCCATTTACCAGCACCAGGTGGCTTTGGCCCTTCGCGATGCTGGCGGCCGTCAGAAGCTCCTGAAGAAGCCTGCGCCGTTGACGGTGTGGGCACCTGGCCATTTCCGTGCGTTTCGGTGGTGGGTGGTGGAGAGGTGATCTACCCGGATCTGCCGTCAAAATCAACCATAGCTATGGAAAGATCCACCATGTTTAATGGGAAAATCCACTATTTCTATGGCCATTTTCAATAGCTATGTTAGTCATAACCAGAGGGTACACCCAAAAAGTGGATTTACAATGATTTACACCCAAAATCAGAGAGTTAAGTTGATGAAATCAAGCATAAAAACAGCATCAAACATCAAACAATGTTGTTGTGAACCCCCCAAGACCGATTTTCCCGCGTCCACTTTCCTAGGCGGGCTCAGTGCGCAAGGCGCTGCTGGCGCTGTCGGAGCTCAGTGGCCAGGGCGTGGAACGTGCCAAGACCGCCAAACTGGGCGCCTTGCTGCGGGCTGCTGAAGGTCGGTGCAACAAGTGCTGGATGTTGTGAGTTTTTTGGGTGAAGTTTCTCTGACGTTTTTTTTCGTATTATGTTTATTGTTCAAGAATTGGGTATACACCAAATGTGTATTCCAATTCACGTGTTTTCTGTTAAATTGGGGAATGTGATGATATAGACATACATAGATGATTTGAGGGTCCTAGTTTCAGATGATGCCAGGCAGTTTTTGGATGGTTTGCCAGCAAAATTTGAAGTTGAGGTACTTTCACCTAGGCAGAGAAGATTATTCTGAAGTTTTGTCACCCAGAATCCGGCTAGGTACCGAGTTGAAGTGGTTGGCTCGAACATTTCTGCCACACATGGCTGTGAGGAAGCTCAGCGGTCGGCTGATGATCGTGAGTTCACGCGCCAAAAACATGGCATTCAATCACTAAGAATGTGGATTTGCTTGTAGAATACATGGGGAAAAGATGGTGATGCTACTTGAGTAACTTGAACTGAGAATGGGATTTATCACCAATTATATTTTGTAATATGTTGATATATGTTGTATATTTCTGGGGAAATGGTAACAATCAATACAATGAAACCATATGAAACCCAATCCTTGGTCTTGGATGTCTGATGTCCTGGAATTCTTAGGGAACAATTGCAGGACCCCCTGATATTTGAAGTAAGCACATGGGTTTTCTGCAACTTGTCTCACAAACTCACCCAGTGTGACAAAGTTTATTAGGGTGCTTTGAGAATCTGTTGGGGGATAGAACCACCCACACAATTTGACCTCCATTCTGGTCGAACTGATCACGATCTTGGCTGATCAAGGTTCTAAGAATCTCGTTAATTCTCCGATTAAATGGTTTTATCAAGATTCACCCCAGTACTTGGATTTGCTTACGGGACAACTGAAACATAGATTACTTTATCATATTTTGTCCCATATACATACTCTGAAAACCAAACATCATGTTCAGCAAATCCAGGAAAATTATCGAGGTTATCCTGGAATTGGATGCAGAACATAGTTGCAGGACATCCCAGCAAATTCGGATGGGATAAATTACTGATTTCCCGTTTAATCAGTTCCTCGAAACTCACTCCCTTGACGTTAAAGATGGAGCAAAATCCGGGTTGTAATAGTATATTCATATAATATACATATCATTGCATATATCATTATATTAATCATTAATTATATCTTATAATTGATATGATCATACACAATACTACCATACGTTTAACATCTTTAAAATATCGAAATGTATCTCCCCATATATTCCTCAGATCCAAGGCCGGGATCTCCCTGGAAGCCTCTGTGCTGCCAGCGCTGGGCTCGGCAGTTTTATGGCAACGGGCACGACGCTTGGTCCAAGTGACCACGGGGTCACCGGGGTCACGGGTTGAACTGGGGGAAAAATCAGAATTGATCCCTAAGATTTAAGGATATTCTTCAGGAGTACAGTATCTTAAAATATTTTGAATATGACACTTCATTATTTTTTCCAGGGGGGTTGAACTAGGATCATATTGGAGGATCTAGTGATTGTGATTGAGATAATGGTTGAACTAGATGGAACCATCAGAAAAGACTTGGCATTTGAATGCTGTTGATATCATTTTGAGAGGATTTTAACAACCAACACTGGGATTTGATCAAGCAGCGTTGGGGATGGGAATATGAGCAAGAGCAGACGAGGAATTTGGGGTATGTATCCAACAGTCGAAGCCAAAGAAAACAGCAGATGAACAAACTGACTGGTCCTATTCAGGATCAAGCAGGATTCTTGTTGGGCACCCCTTTTTACCCATATCCACCAGGGGTTGGAGGGTATGGGATTGGATCAAATTTCTGCATTGATTGACCCCAACATTGGATGCTTTAGTATTTACATAATGTACACATAGCTAAGATGACCAGTATTTTTGGGGTTACACCTGCATATGATCAGCCTGCAATGAGGCAGCTCCCATGTTGTTTGGGATGTCGTCTCCAGACGGGATCGGCACAGCCACGGCGTGCCATGTGGACCAAGAAGCCCTCGCAGGGTGAAGCTACAGTAGTCATGTCCAATGCTTGACAAATTGAAAGCCTGAAAGGACATAAATGACATTGCAGTGCTGAGAGCATCAAATCCCTATGGAAACTTAGATGAAATGAACACATCAAGTGTATCAGAAGATCATCGAGCAACTCCACAATGCAACTTCTCCGGACCAATTCGTACTTCAGATGGCTGAATCCAAATCCAAGAAACCAGTGAATCTAAATCTCAGGGTACCCTGGCATAGCTCCCAGATCATAGATTATCATACTTCATCATATGAACCCAACCCACAGATTTCAGAGGACTATGGGATGTCAAACGTCCACGGTTGATGGCCTATTTTATCAGGTCATATCATTACTTACTTAGTGTCTCAGCTGTGAAAATCACGGTATAAATCTGTTGTAATCCTGCTAAATCCCATCATTCTGATCCATTTTCGGCATATTTTGATGTCCAAAAAGTCCCAAATTTCCCCCCAAGGCTTCCCGCAACAGTTCCCCCCAACCGTTCCCCCGGCAACGGGTTCCCCATGGCTGCGCGCGTCACGGAGTTGCTGAACGGCTCCGCGGTAGCACTGGCGCTGGGCGTGGCGTCGCGCACGGGGCTGCTGCGGGCGCTGAGTCAGGCTTGGCGCAGTAGGGCGGTGCCTGGGGAGGTGGTTGCTACTTGTAAGGGTATAATGGGGATATGGGGGATGCATCAAAATTGATGGTGCAATGGGGTAGACTGGGATAATTATCATAATGGGAATTCGAGATTGAATGGGTGTTTAACATTTTGTTTAACCATCAAAAATGGTGGTTTACTATGACGATATAATTACTGTTAATAACTTCCCATCTGGATGGTTTTTATTGGCTTTACCACAAATTTTAATAAATTTTAGGGGTAAACCATGTTTTCACCCCTCTTCAACAGCCGTGCAAGTGATGAGCCATGCAGGAGCCATCGACCGTGGAGAACATTGCCAAAGTGTCCAAATTGCATCCCAGATATGTGGAGGACCCGGGCGCGGCAACGCGATGCATCGATGCCATGAATCTCTGTAATTTGGGATGGGTCAACACATGAAAAATCATGATTTAAATCACTATTTGGGGATATTTGAGGGATGAAATGGGATGTGGAAAAATCATGATTTGGGGATTATTTGAGGATGAACATCCAGCTATTTCGCTGATTTGTGATGAGAACAAAAGGTAAATTACCTTAATTTTGACCCATAGTAGAGGTATGTCCCAACTTCCCACTGCTTGATCAGCAAAGAGTGGTGAGTCCAGTGAATGGTTCAACCACCCATATATATTACTGGTTGGTGGTTTGGAACATTTATTTTTCCATATATTGGGAATAATACTCCCAACTGACTAATATTTTTCAGAGGGGTTGAAACCACCAACCAGTATATAATATATATATATATATTGTACATCAATATACAAAAGAGCTACAAATGCTTGGTTTTCCATGGTCCATGTTCCAATAAGAAGGCCATAGGTATAGCGGTCGCGCTGGCTGACCTCACGGTAAATGTTGATATGTGCATGTTTATTAATATATACATTCACGTCATCATTTGTTGATTTCTGATTTTTTATAAAGAACCTTGCGAGTTGCCCATGTACACGATTGTTTTATATGATCAGTTTCATTTGATAAATTAAAGCTTATAACAAGTTCATCATGATTTCATCATCGACATGTGTCCAATTCCACCATTCCAAACAATTTATTGTCCCAGGATGTATCAGGTAAAACTTGCAGGGACACCTGCATCTATTTTTTGATGGCGAAGAAAATCCATGGTTTCCAGGGTTCCAACCCTTAAAGGATAGCCACAAGGTGGGATTAAAAATGGTGATTAAGTACTCATTGCCATTGATATCCATTGATCATCTAAAATAATCTAAAATAGTCTAAAATAATCTAAAATATATAATCTAAATAGATTCCCCCACTCTTTCTGTTGTAACATGTTGTGGCGCTGCAAAATCTCAATGGCGCCAGGAGATCCTTGCCGTCCTGGTCTGTGGCAAAGTGGCCATCCTCACGGAGGCTGCCTACAATCGCCTAACGAAGGTAACGAAGGTATAGGGAAAATACCATCTGGTAATTTAACATAGCTATTGAAAATGACCATTTATAGTGGATTTTCCCATTAATCATGATGATTTTCCATAGTTATGTTCGTTTACCAGAGGGTATGGGAAAATGACAAAACATACCTTCCATGGTTTCCAAAACCATGGAATAGAATGGAGTAGCCATGAGTAGCCTATGTTCAAACAAATTGAACACATGTGTTTAATAGCACACGTTGGAAATGGAGAAGGAATGAGAGAAGAAACAGATGAAAGACAGCGGATTTTGATGAAGCAACAAGAACAACCATTTCCCATAGGATCCATGTATGGTATATATACCCATACCTAGCGAAACCAAAACCTTACTTTTTGTAGGTCCCAGGGTGAAAACCGAGCTTTCGAGTGAAATGCATGCAAAACCTAGGTTTCCTGGAGAACCTCACTTTTGGTAGTATATATAGCTATAACATATATATGTTGACCCATCTCAATCATATATTCTATCCTTTCATGATATTCAATGGTCGTTCTCATCATATATGCCTTATATATATCATTTGAATTGCACGCTATATTTAATATGACCATCATCTACCATCACCTTCCCCTCTATCAACCGGTTGCTGCCCTTTTAGGCGCCATCGCCTTCTGGTCCAGGAACATCGCGACGAATTTGCAGCAATGTCTCTGGAAAGTTTGAAGTATATCTTGATGGACTATATATATGGCTACATATATAATGCTACATATATGAGATGCCCACAATGATATATAATGATAAGGTGGCCAAATGTAAATGAAACCATGGGGCAACCACAGAGCTACGCCAGCTATAGTGAGACAAAGCTGAACGCGACCGCTTTGAAGGGTTGTGGTTTAAATGGCAATTCTCAAGTTATAGTTCTGGGTTCCCCCCACAACTCAACAACTATATACAAATTTAACATACACACCTCACCTCACCCGTTGCGGGGTGCCATGGCAAACGCAGCCCACTCAGATATGAGGCGTGGTCCTGCGCCGGGTGCTCTTCTCTCAAAATCTGATATCCAACAATTTGAAGGGTCATAAAAATGAGATGATCAATGATGCGCAGAAACAAATGAAGTTGCAATGAACTTAATCAATTGGTTTTGGTTTACTTGACCAAGTGGGATCAGCAAGGTCCATGAACATTTAAAAAGGAAACGCATGTGACATCATGACTCTATATATACGCAGCATTTTGCTCAAGGAGTTGTGCTGCACCTCTTGTGCGGGGGGTCATGGAGAAGGAGGCTGACAGAGCCAAGTTGGATGTGAGTGATCTAGGGGTCTTGCTTGAAGAAGAAGAAGCGATTAGAACTCATTTACGCGACTCTGAAAACGTTCTCTTTGCTGGAGAAACCAAGGAAAGTGTCAAGGTTGCTTGCACTGCACATATCAATGTGCTGCTACGTGTTGTTCTCACCAAAGTGGTGGAGACGGAGGGAATGCCCCAACCCCCTATCCACCCCCTTCGGGATCAGTTAGAGCTCCTGTACCACAAATGCGGCCGCGTCAGTGTTGATACTGACCAAATCATTCGCGACTCCTGGTACGTCAGAAAGTTCGTTGGATTGGTCAAAATGAAGACACGGAAAGAGAAAGTCAGCGAAGAACCTAGTCTCGAGTTCAGGAATGCTTACAATTTATATCTCATTCGTCCTTTTCCATGCAAATGACAATATATCTTTTGATTCGCATTAGATGATGTTTTCATGGCAATCTCACCGCAATCATCCCTATCTAGTTTTAGATTTGGCATTCCGCTCAGGAGAAAGACTTTCAGAAATTGTGTCTGATCCTCAACCCAGAACTGAAGGACCGGGGGTCTGTATCCAGGTTTGATTTGAGGATCAGGGCTCCGTTGTTAACCAATCAATATCGACAATTTACATACGACCTCATGATCATACAATGGGTCTTCGGAAGGATTGATGTTGTTCATCTTGATATGGTCTTTGATCAGGATCTATGTGATGAGATCAACAGGAACGTTGAGTTGAGACTTCAACGCAAGAAGGAACGTCAGGCGCACAAGTGACCCAGGATACATCCCAAGACATCCCAAAGTTTGGTTTCGCCTTTTCATGGCATGCATGCATGCAGCAACTTAAATATATATGACCAACATTTGAATATTCAAAGATTGCCACCAACGTGTTTCTGCCTGAGTGTCAACATGTGTCCACTGATGGAAACATGACTTTCATCCCGCACAGGCACGAAAGAAAGGACTGATTTCTACTGACGATGCTTATGATGATTCCAACAAAGGTTCTGAGTCTGAGAGTTCCCATGGCGAAGACAGTGATAGCTCTAGTGGGAGCAGTGATGTTGAAGGGGTAGATATTGATGCCGGCACCCATCCGGCTTCATCATCAGCCCTAGTCGGTGAGCCAGCTCAACCAGCCCGAGCCCCTGCCGCTGCTGCAGCCCCCGCCACTGCTGCAGCAGAACCGGCTCCTGGTGAACAGCCTGAAGAGGTAGCACTCCTGAGTGTTGGGCTCAGTGACTCGGGGGTCAGCTTAAGTTGACCCAACGCATGTTGAAACTTTTTTCAAAGACGCCAAAGCAATAACATGTGTTGTCATTTGATTTCATGGGTGTCTTCTGATCCCTGGTAAATATAGAACAGGGTTCCAATAACTGCGAATGAGTTTCTGTTCAAAACCATTTTCCTCAGGTCAGGTGCCAGCTGCAGACGCAGCCCAGCAAAAACTATCCATGGACTTGGAAGAGGCCAAAAAACGTTTGGCCGAGTAGGGGACCAAGTCGTGTATAAGCCGTGTTGATATATATCTTGGCATTATATAAGTGCAACTTTATATTTTGTATATATAGGCCATTGGACAAACTCAGTGCATCAACCAAAGCAACACAAAATTATATACCTGGTCAGATCGATATTGCAACTTGTTTAAATATGATGTTATATATATAGATATATATACGTAGAAATACTTGAATCAGATGATATATGCACGGTGTTCGTCTTCCGGCTGAGGCTCCGGGAAAAGAAGGCCAGGTTGAATCTGGCTGTGCAGAAGATGAAGTCTGAGCCCTTACACGAGCGGCCACGGGGACCAGCAGGCTTGAACATGGATCCATGACTGAAACAAAAGCTATACCATTGATCTGCATGACCTATCCTTTCCCTTTCCGTTAATTACGATTGATTTATCGATCTCCCCTCTGTTGAACGAATGTGCATGAATGCATGGATTTTTTAAAATATTTATATAGCGCATGATGGGACTCAATCCATGTGTCAGGCATTGCAGCTAATGCCACTCCTGGACCAGTGGCTCATGACACCGCGGAGACTCAGCCGCTTGTGGACATCACTGCGGTGCCAGTTCCAACAGATTCTTTGCTTCCAACATCATCCCCAGACATCCCATCGTCCAAGATGCGGGCCAACTATCAAATGAAGAGATCCAAGCCCAATTCTCCTGATGACACGCGATTGTTTCCAGTAACTTCGGTTTTACTATTTACACATATTTACACCACACACACACATATCCTGGACATGTTCGTGACAAGATGTTACAAATCAAAGTTTAACCATTTCTTTTTCCATATATACCACGTACATGCATGGTGTTAGTCCATATGGCCATGTGATGACAATATGACCATTATATGTATCCAAACTTCAACGGCCACCGTCACTCAGGCACCGCCCAAGACTGACACGGACAATGTGGCCAAGCCGGATTCTGCAGCAGGGGATGGAGGTAAACGTCCGTATGTCACCAGGGATGACCAGCTACGTATGAAGGCAGTAACCAAGGCCAAACGTGGAAAGGCAAAAGGAAAGGGAAAGGGAAAGGATGGTAAGAAATGCAAGAAGAGAGGTGGAAATTCCCGGAAGGCGAAAAAAAACCATAGCCGCAGGTTGAATACCCTTCGTGCCCTCAGCCCCAGCCCCAAAAAGAGAAAGGCGAGACTGGCTATAAATGATGCTGAACATGATGCAGGAGCAGAAGCAGAAGCGACAGCAGCAACGGGTCCAACAGGATCTTCATGTGACAACAAGATCAAAACGCGCAAGACTAGAAAGGCAAAGGTTGCACATGAGACGCCAGAGCATGTCGAATCACAACCAGCCAAAATTCCAAAGGCAAAAGCAGCGGCCAAGACACGAGCATCACCGAAAGCAAAGTCACGGGCAAGCAAGAAAGCAGACCCAAAGGTTTCTGCCAAGGCAAAGGCAAAGGCACGGGGCAGGCCCAAGTCCACCCCACCTACTTCCGCAGCAATGGTTCAGCAGATGAAGGCCAGTCATATGTATGTGGGGAACCAATGTGAAACGATCAGAATGTTTTGCATCCAAGTTCAGCAGCGGGGAGGGGACAAAGCTACATCCCCGTCGTTCAAGAAAGCAGCTCGCAGCTTCGTTCCTCGTGATCTTGAAATGTTTTACATTCAGAACATCTACTGGACCCGGGGCTCCGTCGGGGTGACAAGTACAGAGAGTGGCAAAGATGTTTTACATTTCAGTTTCAACCAATCATCAGCAAGCGAAGCTTACAAGATGGCTGCTGCAGTCAAATGCGCAATCATTGCGGTCACTCAGCATTTTTTATGATAAAGATGTTTAATGTTTGCTGATCTGTCTTGTTGTGTTGTTGTGCTGTGCAGTTCACCTGTGACATCAAAGCAATACTAGGCTGGTTTTCTGAGTTCAAAGTTTCTGTATGGTTTCAGGATTCTTGCAGGGTTGCTTTTCCCTCTATCCAAGGCGACCGGGCTGGAGAACAAGGAGGACTATAAAAAGGATGGCCCACTTGTCGAGACCCTCAAGCACAATGCTAGTTTGGCGTTGTTTTTGCTGGCCAATGAGCCAACGGATAGCTGGGATAGCTGACAGATTTACCACGGGTTTAGGGGATTGTATGCACACGGTATGGCCCGCACCATGCTCATAAGCACTTGGCGGTGGATCCAAATCTACTCTCAAAGTTTTTGGGTCTAAGTCATTTGCGATGTCAGTGCACATGTATTTACCATGCATGGCTAGATCGCCTGTGCTGCGGGGCTGAGTGGGCGGGGCTGCCTGGACCGATGTGCGAATACATGCTCAACAGCTATGAAGCTAGCTGCAAATATACTTTTGACAACATCGCTTCGCGCCAGTGGAGGAAAAGTTTCCCGATGTGTTTGCAAACGTAACATGTTTCTGAGAACGGACTCGGGTGAACCACTTAACCTTTTAATCCTTTCACAACATTGGGAGCCGCATATATATTCTGATTTGATTGGCGCATGTTGTCAATGCACCAGACCGGAACGGACATAGAATGGCACATACCTGGGACCTTGGTCAGATTATGATGATACTCCATCCATATATACTTGATCTTGAGATATAGTTGGGACATGTTGGTACCTTGGTCAGATTATTAAACAGGTTTGAATTGAGATGTATACTGACATATATTTACCTCCGTGGGTCGATATTCACTATATATATACTATACAATTAACGTCTATATATATAAATGCAGGGATCGACTGAGTGCTGCGCTGGCACTCTTCCAAAAACATTTCCTCATGTCCCATTTCCACGGCTCCTTCTGGCAGGTGCCCATGCCCAGTCGGCCGAAGAATGTCTGGAAGGTGCGATCGAAATTTTCAAAACGATGGAAAGGAAGTGGGGCTGGCTATGTTATAGAATGCAGAGCTGGTTGCGACATGTATACCAACATAGGCTAAGAGGCCGTATGTACAACTCAATTTTAGCGAGTGTCCTTTGTTTATGGTTTTGGACAACAACTTTGGTTTTAAAGCCTCTTATCCATATGTTGGTATTCATCAAGGTTCTCAAAAGGATCAGTTCATGTAGGGCGACCATGGAAGAATCAACATGCAACATCTTCATTTGACCGGAATGTCGAAAATGGAATCTGAGTTCTCGATCATTGTGCCATGCCATGTTGCAAGCCACAACGCCGTTTGGCCCCAGACGCCTTTGAAAGCTCGAACTTTGGGGTTGAGCCTGACCAGTGGTGACTGGGGTTGGAGGGAATGCCTTGTAGATACCCAGCTGATAGCCCGCAACTGGACGAGTTGTTCTTCCAGCTCAAGATGCTCAAGTGTCCAAAGGTTGGGGACCCAACGTTTTATCTTTATATGTTGACAGCAATTTGCCACTTGCGAAGATAAATGATATATCCGTGGTTGTTTTTGGTCCAGGGTTGAACCAGCCAAAATCCGATGAGGTGCTGGCCCTTTGTATCCTCATGATCATATGGACACCAACTTTCAAGTGCAACCAGGCGAGGAACAACGATGGGATCATGAACGTTTTTTTTGAAGATAAAAAAAATCCCCGATTCAAGTCACATGTCAAATTGATAAATTGATCAAGTGCCAGTGCCCAACATTTTCTATATACCCGATATCTGCCGTGGCCTTGTGCAGGAATACCAGCTCTTCGAGTTTTTCGCGGGGAACGCCAACCTGAGCAAGTGCGCCAGGGCCAGTGGGCTGACAACGGCATCGTTTGATATCCTTTTCGATGCTCAGAAACCTGGTCGCTCATATGGTTCCAACAGCATGGACATCCTGTCAGACTCCGGTTTTGCGTCTTTTGTCCATTCAAATGACGCCAAAGATTTGTGTATTGTCATCATGTGGTTTTAACGACATGATGGTCCGTTCATTGATATAAACCCCATGAGTTCAGTTCCTACGTGTGGGGTGGGGTGGACGCCTCTCAATTTCAATAAAGGTCCCAAACCTCTGCATATAAATTCGATCGTAAAAACTTGAAACGATATTGGGGTATTATGAGGAAACCATATATATATATATAGAGATCGACTGTTCAACCTTAGTCTATATGGTGGTATCTCTTGGTTGCCTATATATGGGGATGTCTCAAAATCAGATGATCTCCCTACATGGCAAGTGTTTTTTTAAACCGGTTGCCATTCGACAACACAATGTTTATATCCCCATGCAGTCTTTCTTGATATGTGGCTACCCCCAGCATTGGTCACTATGGTATCCCGTCCGCGTTCCTTCCCAAGG